AATGCCACCGTAAGGCCGTGTCGGTGCGGACACTGCATACTGCCCGATAGGTCCTAGGACGAGGGGAGCAAGTTGGGTCCTAGTGCATGCTCTGCTGGTCCGTTTCCACGGGGTGGGATCGCGATGGCCGAAATCATAGCAGTCGGCCCTCTAAAGCTGTTGCGGCATTTTGAAAGCCACCCCTCTTCCAGTCTTCGTTGTACATGGCTCTTCAAATACTGACAGGCTGATGGGAGGTTCACTGGATTATTAACTTAGATCACACATTAGCAAGGAAATATCCCAGGGGATTTATCGGCAATTCAGATGCAGAAATGTTGTTTACCTAGCAAGTTGAGAGTCGGAGCAGTCACCCATATTTCACTGAGTTTACAGGGCGACATCCAAAGTGTTACCACCTGCAGTTTGGTAGTTCGCATACCACGAGTCGTACTACGCTGCGGTCCAATCAAAAAGGACCTTTTTCGCAAAGACGGAGCTCTACTCTACTTTCAAAACCGAATGGCATTTGACTACATATGAGCCAGTGGGGTGCAAAGAGAGTAGGCTCAGCCTCTCAGACCACAAAATCCATAAAAGAGAATGGTCAAACAAATAAGATTTTTGCTCCCACGACCGTATCTTTGTTCTTCTAAGGAGACACCTTTTTCTTTGATTATGTAAAGATTATCGGCCGAGGTAGTGTGTGAAACAAATACCTCATTTTGGGATCCCGGTTATATTATGTCGACCTTCTGTCAACCTCCCTTTTCTTGCTACAAGACGGAGATTAGGCCAGTCGGATACGGAGAAACATACGCCAGAGTCACCATGACCACCCGTAAGCGCTGTGTAACCACAACTTCTGACAATGAGGCGAATGAAAAGTAGTAATTCCTTCATAGAAGTTGGGATTACAGACTGATATCCCTGTCGACCCACTAGTTTCAATCACTACCATCAGTAATGCAACAAGCACCTAAACTATGCAGTTCCACTGGCGGCTTGGGCAGTACAAAATGTTCAGAAAGCAGAAGGATCAAACTGGGACAGCCTGCCAGCCACTCACAGTGATTTGTACATTTTGTTACTCAACAGTTTACCAAAGTGCACAAATAGTTTGACAGTTATCGGGCTGGATATCGTCTGTCCTATAGCATAAGCCCTCCACGACTCACGTTTCTCTGGGAGTGAGTCCTCTAAGCCATACTTACTATAAGCCAGAATGCGGACGTATTATTTTGGTTGGACCTCCACGTCCAGAGCCCACGTGATCGGTCGGATAGCGACGAGCGATCAGTAATCGACAAAGGTCACTGAAATTGTAAGGTCTAGCTTATTGTCTTTTGTCGTTGGTTGCCTAACTCTCAACGCCCGACCGGGCCGGGAGACCCAGGACATGGACTTGGTTTCTCCCATTGAGGAGCCGAATGGTCTATATTTGAGATACGAGTTCAGGTTCTGTCATTTGTAATCGAGAATATTCGCATTTACGTGGGAGTGCATCCACCAATATCTCGCAGCTGCAAAGCGGGATATGGACAGACGGTAGCCTGATAACAGCAAATAGCTGGGAAACGGTAATTAATAGTTCCCAATTCTAAATTTTTCTACTATTTAAGAAGTTGTGGGTTGTTTTAAAAAGCCAGCAAAAGGCCTCATCATCCACTGGTTTTGTTCCAACACTTGAGCAAAACTCATCCTTTTATTTGCTTTAAGTCCCAATCAGCTAGTAGCCATCCTAGTTCGCGAGCCACTGATGAGTTCCGGGGTTTTCAACTTCAAGGTCTTGTTTGAATCGCCGCGTTCTCACCACCCCGTTACCCGCACAAAGTTGAAATATGCACAAACGAAATGCGTTAGACTTTGTTTGTATTTGACTGCTTTGCCATGTCGTGCTCTGCTTTTCCACGTGTGCGCTCAAATATTCTACCAAACCGGATCGCCTGCCGGCACCACCCTCGCCCCCAGGACTCCTCCTGCCTGCCTCCTCCACACCTCCCCACGAGTCGTCCAAAGTGATGACGCTTATCGGGGCCAAACCGCGTTCCTCAGTTGATACCACCCACTGCCATGTTCTTCGCTGTCCACACGTTATTTTCTCACAGACAAAATCGAGTGTAGTGGAATAACAAGCTCTGCTGGGGTATATTGGAGACAGTAAAAGTCAAGCAAAGGACACCTCGGTTGCAAAAAGCATGACCCTGAATCGAGGTAGATGTTTGCGTTTTAACAGTTAACTTTTTGGAACACCTGGTAGATAACTCAGCACCTATTTTGGCGGTTCCTTCATAATGTAAGAAGAGGCCGAATTAGATGTCCACTGGGCAAAAACAAAAATTCTGGCTGAAATTTGCGGCGTAGAATGTTCGTTCGAAAGTGAGGACGGTTGTGTGCCGCTGTCATATGGTAGCTGTTCAGTACATGGAAGAAGACGTCTGGGCGAGCATCGGATAATTTGTTTGATGTCCTGGACTTTCGAACACTTGCAGGAGTCCTTCGTCAAAGATGACAGCACCAACAGACCCAGCGACATTTGTAGGGGTATTAGCCAATCAGCAGTTACTGACGCAGATTTGGAGGTGACTGCCCAGAACTTTGTATGCCGGCGCCAGATCGATAAATCAAGTGACTGAGTTCTCATCCGTGGCCCGGGTTCCAATTAGTTTTTGACTTGTTTGTTTTCAAGTCGGACGATTATATTGGCGGTTGCGAAGTTGAATTCATGGTCTCTTTCGAAGTTGCGGGCAGCCACTTGCGATAATTCGTGAAATTTAGTGTAAATTGGTCGTTTATACTCTATTTTCTATGCGCCTTAAACCATATTTCAATTCGAGGGTTGAAAGACCTGAAAAGTTGGCCCCGAGTTCAGCTGATCATTAAACTGCCACTTGGGCCACGGATCCACGCTTCGGCAGCTGTGATTTATAATATTTCTATTCCTACGCTAGTGGCGTTGTCCTACCTGACTCACGTACAGACTTAAATAGGATTTCCTTTGCTTTTAGAGGTCCATCTTGCTGCCCTCATGTTAGCCACTGGAAGGCAACATTTCCTAATTTTTTGTCGAAAACCTAAGTGTACATCAGAATGACCAAAGCTGGGCCAAACGCTTGTATCCCGTTCTCCAATCCGCCCAGAGGAGCAATGTCATTTGGTCCAGTTTTTCGTCTAAAAGGATCGTCATAGACTGAATGAATGAACTTGACTAGTCAAACGAGGGGATTTACCTGGGTTTATTCAAACTATTATGACTGCTCATTCGACTTTATTGCTTGGGAAATATTTGTCTACTCTAGATGATTTCATGATGGTTTGTACGAGTAAGACTTTCGAGTTAGACAATGACGGTTTTCATTGATTATCTTCATCTAGGAAGTCTACCCTTATGCACTCAGGTTCGTTCAACAACACACACCAAGGGCTTGGGTCTGTGAAGAAGAAAGCTAACAATGGGACAGACTGGAAGGCGAGTGTCTGTCATTCAGACTCCAAGTTGGTTTCAAAAAGTTTCAAATCCATGGTTGGAGCGATTTATTCTTTGAGCTCTAAAAAATAGCGACAAAACCGTCGCCTCAGTTCCACTCGTATATAGTATGACGAGGTAAATATGCATATGTAAATGTATACATATATATATGTGTGTATGTTGGTATTTTCATGTACAAGACTGCAGTGAATGTGAGGTGGGTTGCGACCACAGGCGCTCTGATTAGACAGCAAATAAAATCGGCAGTGGACGTTGGCGTACTACTGACCGAAATAAAACGAAGTCACTCTGAGTGTGATGCTGCACCCAAGCAGGTTCAAAAGGGGATATCACCTACAACCACACCGATCTACTGCCATATTCTCGAAACTCTTGAGAACTACATCGCCATGCTCGAAGAACAGAAGCGACTGGGGCTTGAAGCTGAGGGGAACACAGCAGGGAGAAGGGATGCTGGTTGTGTTCAGCATGGAGAGGAGGTAGAGCATCAAACCATGATTGGTTGCATTGAAGTGGGCGGAGAGGGGAAAGGGACAATAGCCGAAGCAATAGCCGGCATCGTAGTTGGAGGGGGCTAGAATGAACTTAGACCATCCGATGCTTCCAAAGTCCACGGTTAGATCATGCCTCCGGCAGGTAGATTGGGCATAACGTTGGCTGAAGTGGAATCTGTCAAATTTTCGCCACTGTCGTTGCCTCCGGGGGTTCCGAGGAAGACGCTGCCCTCTTTCACTGCCTGCAGGAGTCGGCAGTCTGCCTCGACCATATGGTGAGGGTGTGCGCCTTCGTCGAAAAGTGCTATTAACCTGTGAACCACATAAGTGCTGGGTCATGCGAAATAATCCGAAAACTGTTCGCGCGATAAGCAGCCGGGCTAAGAGACAGCAAAAATCAATATCTGTGAATTCCTATGTCTTGAATGAAATCGCTTGCGCGATCTCGCCCGTTTACTATGACTGATCACAATTGGCTATTTTGAAGGGTCTTCTGCTAATATGCATAAACTTCTCAGATTTTATTAATTCACTTGTCAAACTGGAAATGAAGCTAAAAGAGTTGAAAGCGCATCATTTAGACTTAGTGAAAAGGGCACAATGAAGGTGTTTTCTAAAGGATTCTAAAGATTCCGCCACAACCAACAACCACGACCTCTTTGCTATCACCGCTAAAAGCTTTCTTGAGTCATTCGAAGTTAGTTGGCGCAAATGACCTTCGATGTCCGTATCGGCTATAGCTATAAATATCCACTGGGTAAACGGTCCTACTTTTGTCTGGTTACTCGTAAGGTAAGCAAATAGGAAATCCGTAAAAGTTAAATCAAGCGTTGGCGACCTTATTTAGCAGAACCGTATTCCATCAAACTGGCTAAAAGATCGAGTGTTACCAATCCAGAAGCTGTCCGATGACATCTGACGTAAAAATAAGGGTCAAATAAGACGATTTAGGCAAGTTGTAACTACAGGACCCAACACTTGGGCCTGAATAGTGGTTTAATAACGTTGTAGGTTATTAGTCAAGTGCAGACCTATTTTTATACCTTTGGAAGATTGAAGTCACTTCCTCCTTCCGAAAAGCCCGCGTCCCTTTGCCGCCGTCGTAGCCGCTTCTTAAGGTTATTTTTTTTGGTCCTGTGGAAGGTTATAATATGTGGTGATCTGTCTGGGCTGTGTTCTGCATAGGCCGTACTGGGAACGTCTTCCAGTGGGGCTTTGTCTCTGTGTATATCCACCCGCAAAGTAAGAGACCGCTGGTGTAAATGTCCGGCCCTCAGAAGGAGATGCAGCGCCGCACCAGGCAGTGGGATGTTCAGCCAGCCACGAACGCCACTCTCCTCGCCGTCAGTGGCCACACCCAGTCCCTGAGCCTCGCGTTCAAAGACGATTCTGCATGCGGCGGTGGTGGTGTCGAGGGAGTTGGTGCCGGGCACAAACAGGCCCACCGAAACGCGCACCGGAAGAGGCCAAGGGGGAGGATTGGTCGGTAGGCCTTGTGTTTTTCCGCTGATAAATGTATAGGGTAGACGGAGACTGCCCTCAACGAGTCTTTCGTCCCGTGGCATGCGGGCCACCCGAAAGGTGAGCTGGTGAATGCTGGAGCCGTTATCAGGCACTCGGTTCTCGTCATTGCCCAGTCCCCTGTTAAACGACTTCGTCGCTGATGCTGAAAGTCAAAGAAAATACTGCCTCTGTAGTGCGGAGCTTCCGTAACAGAGTTTTAATTCTGAGCACAGTTTCTTATAGTAAATCAGCGTACAGAAAGCATTACGCTCTTGCGACACCTCTTTTATGCCAGCGAACTGAATAATACTCAGAAGAGGCACTAATGCATTCGACAGTTTCATTGTTCATTTTTGTGAAAGAGCGATGATAAAAGTGAGCACAATTCAAGAACCTTCTTCTTGGTACACTACAGATGCCTGGGGGCCTTCACCCGATCCTTACCAAAACATCTTTTGATAGGACAAATACGATAACTCAGGGGTGTTTTGGCAGATTTCAAATAATCCACTTTGACCTCATCGTGAAAAACTCGGTGCCTCGGTGAGATTCGAACCCACCACAGCAAGAGGAGGCTTTAGTACAGCCAGCGCCTTCACAATCTGAGCTACGAGGCCCCACCGGACGACGCGAGTTTAACCATATTTGGGTCAAGTTTGTCTCCCCAACCTACTGCAACGCCTGGAATCCACTAAATCTGATACAGTAAGTTGACTGTCCAAACAGGATTGTCTAGCTAATACATTTAGAATCCACCAGATGACTGCCGGCTTACATAATTCAGGGGTGTTTTGGCAGATTTCAAATAATGCACTGTGGACGGTTAAACTTGACCCAAAGGTAATTAAACTCGCGTCGTCCGGTGGGACCTCGTAGCTCTGATAGTTAAAGCGTTGGCTGCACTAAAGCTTTCCCTTGCTGTTTTGGGTTCGAATCCCACCGAGGCACCGAGTTTTCCATAGTTGGTTCAAAGTGAGATACGATAATATTTGAAGCAAATTGTTATGGAGAACTGGGTTTGCGATTCACAGTGAAGTAGCTTTTGATTACTTACTGTATGCTTAGTAATAAACAGGTTTGTCTACTTAGTCTATTTGGGTGACTTTTCACTTAGTAGAAGATGTGAGTGAAAACTTAAGTGTATTTGGTAGGAGTCAAAAAGCCAAAACTTTCCATTTACGCATGGAATTAAACATCGTAAAATGCCTGATTTTTGGAGGCCATTTGAGTTGTGGTCGCATTTTTCCGGATATTTATTGATTAATTTTTCACTATTATCGTTCCATCTAAAAACGTTAACGTTCTTTCTAGAATTTAACTGGAAAAAGTGAGTATATTTTTTAACACAGAAATCCTTCATCAGACGAAGAAAAGTCTGTAGGAAAAGATGCCTTTTAACTAGCAATAGCAACAAAAATAGACCATCTTCGGAGGTACTGGAGAAGCAAGCAAACTTTCATTATCCGAGTGTTGATCAAGTCAAAGGGAGGTTCTCGAAAATGTCACGTAAAACCCTCTAGCTTTAAACAGTTTTGAACCGCAGGCACACATAGACGGCATTCGGCCAACTAAAAGTGGTACATTTCCACCTAACCTAGAGTGTTGTTTGTGGATTTCTTTGGAAAACCGCCCTTTTTTCTTTTGTTGTGGCTGGACGTGTATTCTATATGACATGTTGCTAATGCAGGCAAATGAATGTTTTTCTTTTCTGGAAACCAGTCAGCAATTCCAAAAAAGCTTTCTGCGTAACCCTTAAGCGAAATTTTTGTATGGGACAGCAACATTTACTCCAATCTCGTGTGAGAACAAAGCAGATAAAGCGGTCTGACTAAACACGAAGATACTGTCAGGCACGGTTCTGCGGGCGTCTGAATAATTTACGTTGCCTCACGGCTTAGCAAAAACTGTACACACTGGGCTGATTTGTACAGCAGTATGTTCGCGGTATTCGCCGTATTGAACGCACTTACCCAGGGAGAGGGGGTATTCATTCTACAAAAAAGCGCCTGATTGCTAAACGTGCATGTTTGTCTTATTTAGGCTGAGAATGCCTCTGGACGCCCGGAAGACGCTGGGTTGTAGTAAGGGAGCATTTGCAGCAAAAATCGTCCTTGATTGCACATGCTGGTTCTCTGTAGAAGTTTTTGAATGTTAAATATAAGTGGGTTCTGAGGTTTTCCTCGAATTATAAAACTAGGACGATGATGCAGGCCGTGCAAAATTAATCACTTGCAACAAACACCACAGATAATGTTATATTTGTATCATCTCCCAAAATCCCGAAACTGAAAATGTTTGGAAACCCGGATCGTCTCTAAATATAGTAATTAACCAGAGCAATTATCATTATCGCTACCTCACTGATATTTCCTGAGGACAGCTCTTGCCCGTTTTCGCACAGTGAGGCCACCTGTGAAAACCCGGAAGAACCATCTTTTAGGCAACAGCGGACTCATTTTCCATTTATAGAAAACATTCTATTGGTAACAGTATGCCACTGTAGAACGCAACCATAAAAATTAAGAGATGACGACTTATCTTCCACTTCATCCTAAAAAGCCTATTTTGCCCAGGTAATTTTGGAAACTTCCTTTGCGTCACAAGCAAGTCGTACAAGCTGCAGAGGTTTTTATTTAGGACATAGTAGGTTATTCTTAATCCTAAATTTACTAACTTGTCAAATGTTTGAGGCTATATAAATTTTGTTCGAAAACGTGACAGTCCGCAAGTTACTTGTATAGGGCCTAATATTTCAGGAGATTTAAGGCCAAACCTCGGTGATCTCTGTTTAAAAATGACGTTGCAGCTAATATTTTCCAATTAGTCCATGTCATTTGCAAGTTTTTTAAAGATTTGCGAGTAATCGTTCGTCCACCGAGTATCCAATATCAGTAAACTTAGTGCTAAATAGGAATAACAACATAATTTCTATTACTGACTCCCAAGCATGTACAAAAACTGACGGCTTTAGCGTAGATGGCTACGTAGGTTTGGTAGTGACCGAGGTCATCTTGAAGTTTTTTACCTTGAAGGGGGATTACGATGATAAGCAAGCGCGCAAGCTGAGATTTAACGGCTTCTAGCAAATGTTGTGAAAACTGTCCCTAAGCTTACCCACAAATTTGACGTACAGTATTTTGCCTATCTCACAAAAAATTAACTGAACTACTTAAGTGTGCTTTGCATTATAAAGGATTACTTCGATAGGGATGTGATACTGACTATCATATAGCATAGTCCTAAAATTAACCGGTCACGCCAGTACGCGAGCTTTCTAATGCACTTAATGTCCGGCGAGCGCAAAAACCACACTCGACAAAAAACTACTCAAACAGCAGGGTTTTTCCCTTTGATTCTCGACGTCTTTATATATTCAAAGATACTTTATGAAAAATGCAACAAAAGTTTGTTCTATGGCATTCATTTGGTGGCAAACTAAGTTTTCTTCAAATTTTTACTCTCAGTTTTAAAACGTTTGTAATTATGGGATTTTTGAAAATCTTGAAATTTTCACTCAAGTGGCACCGTAGGTGTCGGTTTATTAATGCTACGTATGAAATGCACAATATGGTCCGGATCGACAGTAGAAGTCCGTGAGCACTTTATTGTTTTTTTCTAATAACACATGTAAAATATGAAATTTTTAGTTTGGAAGCTCCATATGCCAGCGTAACGACAGTTCGGGTTCAAAATTATTCGGGAATTAAAAAACCTTATAAGCCGTTAATTTAAAAAGAGTTAGCTTACTACGAAGTGAGAACAGGAAATAGTACTTTTGTGCATGTTTTTTATAAATTTTACCTAGATTTATGAGGACGTCTAAAAGTAACGGGAAAAATTCATACTACCTAGTTAGTCATTTTCACCATGTTTGGTTTTCGCCTGCGGTCGGACAAAAACACAATCAAAAGCCGACATCCTGACATGACTGAAATATCTTGGGGTCATACGACATAATAATCAATATAACACTTCCGTCTGACTGCTACTTTCCGACTGAAAACACGTTTTAGAGTTTCCGTTAGCATGTCACGAGAAAGGCCATCTACTTTATATCAAGGAAACTTCGTTTAACGTAAGAAGTCAGGGCGGCTTACAGTGCACGAGCAGGTAAGACAACCTGATTCCGTTCGAATGAAAATGCCTGTTTATGGAGATAATCGGAACAAAATATCTGGGTGCAGCGTGGGACTACAATTCCAAATTTACTTTTAGGCACCGAGATGAGAATTTTCGGGCATATTAAACATTGCGCATTTTGCTCGCTAGTTAAGCTACTTCAAGGAAGTGTCCTTTTCTTGTGTATAAAATATGTCCACATAATTTTACCGCACAAAGTGTTCATAAATTTGAACGAAAATGAAGACTCAGATGTATTCGGGCAATTTCCTGTACTAATACTTACCCTAGACTTCGGTTGCCCATCTGATTGTGTTTTTTTCTTTGAGAGGAGAGTAATTTATCCTCAAGAGTTTTACTAAACAGAGCTTAGCGCAGTTGAGGACCAATTTTTTGTCCGATACTAACCGTGGGTATTAGTCTGCTAACATCGGGCTAGTTTTAGAGAACCTGGCGTTTTTTCGATTTTAAAAGGTCGGATTGGCAATTTACTGCGATTTATGTGCGATTTACTGCCCTAAAGTGCAGTAATAACGCACACAGTCAAGCCTCCGTTTAAATGGGCCAAAAATGTTTTCGGTTCGGAAAATTCTATGTTTCGACACCAAAATGATTATCACTGAATAGTCATTTTCGCCCTTAAACACACGAAACCTTGCTTTCCCTGCGTCTACTTTCTGTATGCGCGCAATTCAGAAGTGGAACGAACAAAACGTTAACAGTCTCAACAAAACGTCAGTATTTATATGGCGACTTCGCCGTAAATTCCTAATCGTAGAACGGAGTCTAACAGTGAGCAGAAATAGTGGAAAGGGACACAATATCAAGAGAAGTGTATGTTCTTCTGTTTGCGATAGAAACATATCAGTATTTTTGCCAACATAAAAATACGACCAGAAGTGAAGAATTTTCTTCTTGGTTCCATCTTGCAAAAGTGCTAAGTACACAGACATCCGTCAACTTAAAAGGGCAACTTATTAAAAAGGGCTTTCTCATTGATCGGAAACATGTTCTTTTCCAACTCTTGCTGTGAACTTTCATTTTATTCGACGATGAGGTTTCGTGTTTGAGCAAGTCTGTACATGTGACCCAAACGACCACCTACATGCAAAAGGACGCTCAGACACTCAGTAATTCGTTGAAGACTCTGAAGAAGTATCTTATTTTAAAGGTTTTAGCAAACAGAATCTGTCTTTATGGACAATCAGTTGAAACATTGCAAATCCTGAGATATCCAGCGATATTTCAAGACCGACCTTAAACTCAACGTAATTCGGAAAAAACGAAAAGTGCAAATTAATTTCACGAAATGAAAAGTTCTCCTTATATACACAAAACGGTATGTTTACGCTAACGCTTGTCAATTATATTTAAATGTTTATCCCTGGCCCGCCTGGCAACATGTGCCCTTGTGAAAACTTCTGTTCCCATGACGTTTCTATGGGCGAAATCAAGCAAAGTTCTATTTGTCTTATTGAACGGCACTTCAATCAACTCAAAAACGTACATAATAGAACGATTCCTTCGAAGACCGTTTTGGAATCTATACTCAGAATGTAGGCTGCTGACAAACCGCCATAACTGAAATGTTTAATTGTAGACTCCACTGAAAGATGATCTTCAGAGGTTATATTGTTTGTGCTGGGTGTTTTGCATGGACGGGATTTCTATACATATCTGACCGAAGTTTACGCAATTACGACAATATTTGGCGTTTTTGAAACTTTCTGCCTTTTTAACAAAAATCGGTATTTCTTACAACTCGACCGTCACAACCGGCGACGTCCAGCGTTTGCTACACAGCAAGATGGGGTAGGCACGGTGACTTGTGCGTGAATTGGTTTATAGTGAGAGTAGACTTGCACTGCATCTGCTGCACTCTCTCTTCCCCGCCTGGGCTCGGTGTCAAGACATAGTCAAGAAGACTGGAGGCGGGACAGGGCGCAGGTGAACGGCGCGGCCGGACTCGCACCTAGACTACCACCACACCCTGTAGTCCATAACAAACACTTGACAGGATTCTAACCAACAACCGATCAGAAAGTAAAGGATTACTGGGGAACTATGCACACGACCTGTGTACCCAGCGGGAACGCAAGCATATCTACCGGCTGGGAACCAGATACCATAGAACTGTCAGTGCACACCAGACTGCGAGGGCCATGGTTTGCTGATCACGGCATTGCAGACGCCCACAATCCTTAAGTTGGTCTTTCTAAACAACGCAAAATTATCTTTAACATTTCTTTTATGTTTTTAATTATTTTGGAGTTGTTAATTATTAACACAGATATTGGGCGCACGTATGTATATCGGTTTGCGAACGATTAACAATTATTCGTAAATTTCGCAATTTTTCATGACTTAGATACTCTATCGTAGTTTGTTCACCCAAACTTCGAAATATGTTTGTAAAATTACATTTGTTTATCGTTTTCTCACTCAACGACTTATATTAAAGAATTTGGTATTCAGCCGATCCTCCTCGACCCTTACCCTTGTCTCCGAATTGGATGTTTGAAACCCCGGGGGGACATTTACTGAAAAACAGCTTCTACAAAATCCAGCTGACGTTTGTGCATTTCCATCAGATGAGTCTTCAGACCTTTTTGTCTCCAATCGACAGGCTTTGTCGTGCTTGTTCGCAGAATTTCCTTCTTAATGAGAGCGAGTTTCTTTGCCACCCCATGTTAAGGCTCTGGACGCAAAGCTCCAAGGCAAATAGAGATGTCACTTCCCGTTTTCAGTCAGAGTAGGTAGCTGACCAGTTTCCCCACGTGGCATTTGCGTCTAAGCTGAAACCGCTCCAGAAATATTTTATGCATATTCCGACGTGTGGCTAAAATTCATTTTCTCTGATCTGGCGTTAGACACGGTGGTAGACCTTATGATGTAATTATATGCTTTTTCACTGTGCTTGTCAGTTAGGTGAATGGCAATACCTTGTCAAACTCTATCCACATAATGAACCCAATTCGCCTTCACCATCTCCGGTTTTGGAAAATACTTTCCTCAGACAAAGGAGTATTTTGATCCCCACGTATTTTATACCCGAAGTTCGCATAACTGGAGCCTAATCTGAACTTCTTAAGCACCCTTGTGGCATTCTACGACCGTTAAGAGGATTTCTCAAGGGACTCTTGCATACTAGGCAGGTTAAAAACCAACAGTGGTTCAAAAAAAACAGGGGAATTAGTGCAATTTTAGGAATCATATTGATGCACTTTTAAGCACGCTATCTGAAGTTGGCATTGTGTTCTTCAAGGGTCAAATTTGTTACCTGTTCCCGCAGAGACTGGAAAGAACTTTGTAACTAACTGGAACTCATACTAAATGACGAATTTTCCAAAGGGAGTTTTATATGTCACCTTACATAAATGAATGGCAGCGGACCAGTATGCTATGGTGTATGAACTAACGTGAGACCAAGGTACTATAACCTTGTTGAAGAGCGCTTACAGCTGACCGCTACTTAAGCACTTTAGCGTACTTTGCAGGAAACCCAGACTCTGCAAATACCTAGCCTCACGAAAGAATTCAAAGAAGTATCGAATTGCGGCTAGGGACGGAACATGCCCCACCTACTGCAGATGCTCTTATCCTAAATTCCAGGGGGGCTGGATTTAGTGTTAATGCCAGGATAAGGCTTTAGAGGGTTAGAGTTAAGGTTAGGACACTAGAATAAGTATCCCCTGGAATTTAACGCCAGGCCATTTGTAGTACGGGGGTCCGTATTGCCGCGTTCAATTCAAATTGTTTCCAAGACCTTGACAAGCAAGTATCTCAAATTCTTTGCCACTACTATCTCTAGCAGAAAGTGTGGTTTAGGAGAAATAAGAACTCAAACGACCTTTTGGCAAGCAGAACAACGGGTTTTTGTCTACTGTGTCTTCTTTTACTTCGAACAAAGTGTAAGACATCACTCTTCGTCTGTGTAACGCCATAGCAAAGCCTCTTCAGCATGAACGTTACGAGAGGGCAGGTATTTTGCGATCTGGAGCATATTCGTCGTAAACCTGCAATGTTAAAGTCTGCTTTATTTGTCAAAGATGTTTTAGTCCAAAAATAATGCTCAGACTGGTAAATGCGGAAAAGCTCTCCTCAAAGGTACGCTGAGTCGGTGAGAACATTCAGAGTCCTCCTAACGAGCATATCTTCAATAACTAAAAAGCAAAATTGTCTGTTCCTTCGATCGATTGCGTACACTAAAAGCGTTAGTGTCAATTAACGTTTCCGGAATTCTTTGAAACTGCAGATGCCCTCTTTGTCGGAACAAACGGCCATCTTCTGGCATAAAGCCGCTACTCACGGACTTTTCTGGTATGTATACGATCGTACATGCAATCTACATCTTAATTTCTAGTCACCTATCTCAGCATGGACCTCACTATCAGTTTTGTTCAGACCGCTGACCGTTTGTACGCATAGGCTGAAAACCTCTTCGCTGGTGTAGAGCGTAGTACACACACACACACAATGCAAAAGGATAACTTTATTTGAAGATATGATTTCAAGCCTGCTATAAAAAGGCTTATTACTTCACCACGAACTCTTCACTGACATCCTGTTTGTTCCTTTGGCGTTGCTAAAACAACCCAAACAACAGCAAGAACTGCTCGGCCCTCGCTTTTATTTGCGTCCCCACTATCTTCTCATATATACAGCATAGGACTTAACACATCAAAGCTGTCGAAACTTACTAATGATTGCTAATCAATCGCAAAACGACATCCATGCGTGGACCCAATATCTACGTTAATTAACAATGACTTTAAGGCGATTAAAAACGTAAAAGAAATGCTAAATACAATTTTATGCTTGTTAGAAATACCAAGTTTTCTGGAAAAGCGGAAAATCCCGAAAAGGCCAAAATTTGGTTGTAATTGGGTAAACTTCAGTTTACTGCGTACATAAAGCCTTTCCATGCAAAACACTGAGTATATGTGGCAGCACAAATGTAATGACCTCTGAAAGTAATATTTTAGTGAACTCCGCATTTAAATATACTTTAAGAGTTTGTGTCATTTCAGATTTGGCAGTTTGCCAACAGCCTACGCTCTGAGTATGGATTCCAAAACGGTTTCCCGTGGACTCGTGGCATTCTCTCCGCTTTAGAAATGATTGAGATGTGGTTCAATAAGGCATCTTCGTGTTTCCTTCAATGCTTAAGTTACAGTTTAACTGTTCAGTCGCAATATACGCTATCTCATAAATTTCCGTTTTCACTTTAGGCATACTGGTTCTTGACTAGCGATCGGTAATGGCTTCCGCTCATTTTAATCCTTTTTATTTAGGGTTAGCAATATTTTATTTGCCTGTTTTGGCAATGTAAGCGAATTTTTCCCGAGCTAAGCAGAACTTTTTGTTAATTGTAACATGCTTTATAGGTTTCACTTCATGCGGAGAGTCCGAATTGATGCACATAAAAGCGGCCAGATTTGAACTTTTCAAGACTATGAGCAGCAACTAGGGAGAGTCATTCGTCAAAAGTTGGTGCAACTATGTCTGGAACACACCTGCCTGGTTTTTTCGTGGAACAAATGTTTGAGTGAAGTGATTTTTCACTTCTGAAACTCGCTGATCATAGTTTGTTTTATTAGAGAAGTTTCAAGTGACCAAACATTGCATATTAAAATTCCAAATTGTGCACAGGACTATGGAGAAAATGCTAGTCTAAACGTCTTTGGAAAACAAATGACAATTAATCGATTTTTTGAGTCTTTGTTGTTTGTCTAGGAGGTGTCCACTGACAGATATAGAGCGGATTAAGAACGATGAGGTTGTTGTCGGTTTTAGGTGTGTCTGATAGTGATATCTTGAACAAGTCCGAAAGCTTTGGCAAATAAAACCCTGTTACAACAGCTTATCAGTCACCATCTAGAGAATTAACCACTGAATGTCCTCAAATGTTCTCTGAGTGTTATTTATTCAGTTCAGGGAACGCAAATTATAGAAAACTTTTAATCACAAACGTGACAGTTTAATATATCCATTTTTACTAAAATTGTTATCGCTGTTTTCGGCTCATTCGGCCACTTGGATCTTACTGTAACAGAAAATTTGAACTTCAAGAGCGAAGCTTTTGCTTAGTATGACTAATAATTGATCCATTTGAAACACTGAGGTCTGCAAACTTTCCGGGGGCATCTGGGTATAAGGTGTTACCCGGACTTTGAGTATTGGTGATCACTTAATAGCCTAGCTCTAACTCTTATTAACCTGCCTTCGATAAGTTTGTACAGTCCAGTTGTCCCCAGATTTGTTAATTTGATTTGATAATTGAATAACAAGATTTTTCAACGCTTTGATTGTCCACTGTTTGGCATAAATATGCTCCTACCAGAAATCTTCTCTGAGAAGTTTTCCCATCTCATCAACAGAAGTTGTGATGTTCAATCTGAAATAATCCCTCATGTTTCTAATGCACCCCATGCGCTGCCTGACAGTAGTAACTAGTACAGTAGCTGTGTTAACTCATGAAATGTTTGCCAAAATTGCAAAATACGTTTTCGACTCGAAAAAATTACATGAATAAGGTTTTAATATTAATCGCCGTACAGCATAACCCCAAGATATTTCAGTTACCTCGGGATGCCGGCTTTTGAACGCCCTTCATTCCGGTCGTCAACATAAACTGTGCTTCGTAAATAATGGCTACTTAAGTAGCCCGAATTTTCTCATTGATTTTCGATGTCCTTATAAATTCAAATATACTTCACAGAAAACATGCACGAAAATATTCGCTTTTATTTCTTTGGTAGAAAACTACGTCTTCTTCACACTCCGTACTTGAAGGGGGAGTAGAATTCAGCTCTAACAAGTTTTCTAATACCTGAGTAATTTTGAACTCGACTTGCGTTATGCTTGCATTCAGGGTTTCCGAACTACAAGCTATTTATTTTCCATTTACGGAAAATCATACTTTTCTATACGCTATTAAAAGGATACCTTAGGTGGTTCATAAGATCAAGCAGTGGGTTTGGGTCACAATGTAAACTTTACAAGCAACACTGGTAAATGGAGAGACGCGGTGTTTTATGAATGAGCATTTCACGGTCTTAAAAAATTTCGGGCAAGGGTCGGCTACACCACCTTGCCCCTAAATGTAAGAGCAATGTGGGCATTGAAAGTAAAGTTAGTCGAAGGGGCAGGCTGAAATCGTTGGTGGGCAAAGTAGCTGAGGCTGAGACGGAAAAGGCAACCTGATGTATGACACATCTGCCGCAAGATTGAAGGAAGCGTCGAATCCTCGCAAACGGTCTGGCTGAAAGGACACACGGGGTTCAGTACCCTGAACCTTACGGTAAACCTAACCGTAACCCCAAAAGTAAACCCTATCCCTAGCGTAACTATAAACCTGACGCTCACCGAAATCTTGACACTAGACCTATGCCTAAACCAACCACAAACCTTAACACAACCCTAAGCCTAATACTAACCCTGACCCGAATACTAACCCTAGCATTTACCCTAACTTTAACCATGACCCAAACCCTAACCCTAACCCCAACCTTAACTGTAGCCCTGCCTTAATTCTAATACTAACCCTGAATCTAACCTCAAAACTAAACATAAACCTAAACTGCAATCCAAACCTTAACTCTAACCGGAACCCTTAAACTTAACACAAACTCTAACCCTAAACTCAATTATCGTTCTGGCACTAGCTAAGACCCCAAAAGTAACCCTTAGCTTTTTCTACTTTCCCGTTAATTATTTCAGGATCCTCCTTCGGCCCACAGTTACTCGCAGTGTCAGCATCGCGCTTACACTTGGGGTCAGGACAACGTAACCGATCCGTACCAAATCTCATAACTAGAAATTTTTTAAAACTGAATTATACCCCAGCTTCAGGTACGGAGTCTGAAGAAGAAGCAATTTTCTACCGAATTAAGAAAATAACGAATATTTTCTTGCATGTTTCCTATGAAGTATATTTGAATTTATAAGGGCATCGAAAATCAATGAGAAAATTTGGGCTACTTAAGTAGCCATTATTTACGAAACATGGTTTATGTTGACGACGGGAAGCAAACGCTTTCAAAAGCCGGCATCTCGAGTTAACTGAAAAATCTTGGGATTATGCTGCGCGGCGATTTATATTAAAACCTTATTCATGTAATTTTTTCGAGTCGAAAACGTATTTTGCAATTTTGACAAACATTTCATGAGTTAGCACATCTACTATGAGTGAGTTCATACTTTACCGCCCTTTTTAGTTTCCTCTGAAGTCAATGTGCACTAATTTTTGTAGGAATTACTGACGGTAGCAGTTTAACTGATGGTTCCAACAGAAAACCCATGCGGAACGCTGGGAGACGCGCTGATGAGCCGAAGCCCCCGCAGTTGCGTCATACAAAAACGCAAGAATGGCGAAACACGCATGTCTGAGAATTAATCTAATACCTGTGCTTTCAGAATGGTAGATCCTTCAGAGTTCATACCTTATTTATGCATAAGTTGTCCATTTGTACGTATTGCTATCATGTTATGTGATACCACTCATTCTGATTTTTAGCATTCATCAAATTTCCAAGACGCATCTTGTGGAGGTCGGTTTCAGAATACTTTCCCTCTCAGGGTCCGAAAAAGATTAATTCGTTTATTCCCTTGCACACGTGGTCCGTCGAACTTACGAGTCGGAGAAAGTGTTCGCCTTCTCTGATTTTACGGTCCGAATTACATGTCCTAACGACTGGCACAACAGGAATCTGAGCAAACTGTCATTTCATTAAATGGCAACCAGAATATGTATGGTGACTGTATGGTGAGCGTGTAGATGCCACGTAGATCCGTGCGGATATTTGTGGGACTACAATTAGGCATATTTCTTAGCAGTGAAAAATCATTTGACTCAGGAGCAAATGAACAGAATTGAAGTCACCGTCTTTGCACCTTTCGCCGTTAACTTTGTCGCATAACCACAAGATTGCTGTTTCAATTCTTTGCTTTTTAGTAAACCTCCTCTCCTTACTGTTATAAAGTGTCTAGGTCAGCACCATGGACTTCATGGTCAAAGTTTAGTCAAATGGACAGGACATAATATCGGGGCGTTTAAATTTACTGCTTATGGAAACCCTGCAGGATTTCTTCAGTCTCGAAATTTTGTTATCTCCCTCGGCCGTGGAAAAGAAAAGCTACCAGGCTATGCTGGGTATTAGCCCTATAAAAGGGTACCCAAAATACATATTGAACTGGAGGTTCACTCAGTGGAAAACATTTGTAGATTGTCTAATTAACTGGGTCATAGAGCACGCTAAGAACTCATGTTTTGCCGGTAAGACAGAGCCCCTACACGGTGTACCCTATAGTCACATCTGTCAGAGATTTTGGGAGCAGGAATTACCTCCTGGGATCGATGCTGGCATGGAAGTCTGCCACCTAAGCGGTGGCTTCCATTTCTGCTTACGGACTTCTTAATTGGTGCTAAGCAAAAACCTGGACATTTTGAGGAGGAAAAGAAGTAAATCTGACTTTGTGCCATGAGACTTAGTTCAGAAACAAAGGAGAAAGCAGATCAAGAATACAGGGGGTACAAAAGACAAGTAAAAAGAGAGGAAGAGGAAGAAGAGGAGAGTTGGTCTCCGGAAATGAAAGCATATTCATATGACTTCCCGGAGCCGTGATCCGTTTTATTATTAAGCGATTCAAGCTGTTCGCTTGTTTATTTGCGTCGTCCAGCCAAAAGTAGGGCTCCGTACCCTCAGATATCAACTCATGGATTATGTCCTGTTATGTACCAGACAGTTTATAACCACCCACAAACCCAACTAACCAATGACCAGTCGAAACCATATTCTTGCGACTAGACAGCAGTCCCAAGCCATTTTTCGAGCTTCGATTACGAACTCCAGTAAGTATCCGAATACCAAATAAGTGCACCTTTTTTCCGAAGAAGATAGTCCTTTGTTCTTCTCCAGAAAGACTAGGATGCGCACTGACTGTATGCAAATTAAATGAGCTGTCAAGTACTTATTGCCTCTGCTGCTGCCGAAAATGTTCTATCTTACGCCCAATTTTCGCCAATCTTCGAGGGTCCCATTTCCTCCTTCTATTAATGTTCGATTAATCTGGGCTATGTTTCCGAACCACGGGTTCCAAGTTCGTAATTTCAGGTTGATACTCTACACTAACCTTGGAGCCTGTGATGACGGATGGCAGTGATTGGCCCCAGTCTGCGTTCAGCTGCCGCCTCCTGGAACTGGCTGAAGTTGCTCCATTCTCTTGCATGTCGCTCCTGGAGTCGCAGCATGTATGCGGGCACCTGTGAATCCACAGTTGGCTTCGGCTCATGCCGCGACTGACGCCTCAGCTGCTCAAAGTATCGTCTCACATCCTCATAGGTCTTGAACCGGTGGGGAACGCCGGCGGACATTAGCAGTTGCCGTGGTCCCGGGACCCAGTCATTTTTACTCTCAAACCGCTGCCAGACGGGGGAAGACGACAGTGGTCGGTTGTTTGGCCGTTTTTGCGCGACGATACCGCCCGGAAGCAGACTCAGAAAGGGAAGTAGAGTTGCAAAAATGACAGCTTTCCGATTGGTGAGAAGCTTGTTTTGGACCTCCAACGAGAAAGTACTAATTCTCGGTCGCCGCTGCTCTCCCCATGTTCTTCCGTCCGGCGGACTTCCCTTCCACTGCCACCTGACGGTGGACTTTCTGCCCTCCTGCTCCGATAATGTAGGACCTCCCGGGGTACGTCGCATTGTCATATTCAGCTAAAGGCCGGCGCCGGTCGATTTGTTGGTGGCGTTTTCAGATGCTCCGTATTTTTGCCTGTATGTAGGTGTGTGACCACAAACGCTCGCATTCATGGACCCACGTATGCGTCTTTCTTTGACGCCAGTTGCTGCGGTTTTCGCAAGTCCTTCGCCCCCCGCTTTTGCGATCCGGAGCACGTAGCGCGTCCGTGACAGCCGCCGAACACTGGCGGCGACCAATCAGGGCGACTGCCAGCGGCTGATCGCTTCTTCCGCCTCCCCCTTCACGCGTGCCCCCCTTGCCCGCAGACCGACTGGCAAGCGATCTGTGCCCGCGCGCCAGTTGTTCGCATAGCGGCCACCTGCGCAGAGCCCATTGGGCCACAGCTTCTAGCCCGATTTTGGCGCCGTAAGACGACTAGCGGCAGCAACAGTGACGGCAACAGCAGTGGACGCCGACCCACCACCGAGAAAAGGCACAGAGCGCCGCCTACAGTAATTACGAGCGTGAGGGGGAGTATCGGCTTAAGCCACAGCAAAATAATCCCTTGGCGCCACACATGCGTTCGCGTAGACTTGGGCCCAGTCAATCTATCACAGAAGTCACTAACGTTAACAGGGCGGCAACACAATTTAACCTGTCGGCTGAGGTCAGCCGGAGAAGGGAGAATATCCGAGGGCAGTTTTATGGTAGGCATTCCAGTCTGTGCGTGCGGTGACCAGGACACTGCCTATTTATATGTGTGTCTGGACTAGTAAGTGCAAAATGAAGCCCACGGCGCCAACGTTTTGGGTGGCCATTCAGTCATGGCAGGGTTTGCTTCCTGTTAGCAGTCTGAAAACCCACAACAAAAATGGTGCCTCTTGACAGAACTTTTCGCTCCTTCGTTCGAGCAGTACAACTCTCTCTTTCTCTCTGTCTTATACGCGTCAGTGTTGCATCCCTCTCTCGATCATGTCCTCCGTGAAACTTCATGTATGAAATATCAGAAGCTGCCGAGGTGCGCACTTGACAGCGAGGAAGGAAGCAATAAGACCGAAACGTTCGCTCGCACTTAGCTCCGCAGGGAAGTCATGAACATGAATTTAGTGACGTTATGATTAATAATAAAAAAATATATATCTCACTGATTTCCCTCCTGTCAGAGGGTATGAGTAGCAAACAGGCAGCAGTAGCAGAGCATAAATTTCCAGAGTTGTACACACTACTCCGTTCAGCCAAACCCCAGATGTGCGCTTCAAAGACAATAAATTAATTATCCAAGAGTTGATTCGTTCAAAGTAAACCCGAAATTTACCATTAGGAGGTGTTAAAGCAACTTAAGGGACCACAAACAATTGCAGTACTTACATTCTTTCTTGTTTTAATTTCTGTCTACATAATATTTCCAGAATGTTTTCATTCGCTCACCATCTCCCAGGAACTCCAGACACATTTCAAAGTCGATTCCTGACTAGTAAAACTGTATTACAAGTTAGTCAGGCAAGAACCCTACAGCAGTCTAATTTGCTTCTAAAAAAGCTTCTTTAATAGCATGTTAGGTGAAGCCAACTAAACTTCGCAACCTGTTTAAAGGCTAATTGGTCTGAATCCGCTAAATATAAACCCTTACAGGATGAGCACGTGGACTGGGACCTCACCAAACTGGTGGTAAGTCAGATATATTTTGCAGTACTTTTAAGAGGGAGCCTGACTCAGCCTCTCCCAGGTGAAGTTGGAGACAAAGTTGCCGTGTAGCCTAATGGAAGTAAACTTCATGGTAACTCATATAAAGGTAGTATTTTAGTTTGTTTATGTTAACGCTCCAATAGTCCGCTCGTCTAAAAACTAACCGCACTTGCATTTTCCTGATCTTTGAACGTAAATTCGTGTTTGTTTACGTATGCTACTTTAAATGACCCAGTACCTAGGAATAAATATCTCCCGCTTCATTTCGCAACCGCATAAGTGTGTAAATTTAACCTTTATTGAAAAAAATTTCATCAGGTTCTTGCTGATATAGGAACAATTTCATCACCGATTTCATCAATTTAACCTTGTTTCGAGGAGCCATTCTGCCTATATGAAGCGGAGTACAAGTGACTGGGGCATGCCCTTCAAAGTTAGCTCTCTTTTTCTTCCTCAAATTTGGGGCCAACGATTCGCACTGCAATTGCAACTGGAATTCGGAGTTAAATGTTATCGGTTTTGCGCACAACCGAATTTCATACAAATGATATGGTAGAGCGCAGTTGGGTGTGACAGCTTTCTCTGTGGCCTAATTTTACTCTAAAACTCGTCATCGTTTTTATGCATATTTTATGAGCTAATGCAATTATTTGGAACAGAATTCCATCTCCCATCTTGACGTGACGACTAAGAAGAATGTGCTGAAAAATAATGGAATTTGTACAGTCCGAAGGAGCGTTTTGTCGGACGAATTCCAACCACCAGCCTCTTGATAGCAAGTCAATTGCTCTGCCGCTGATCTACGCATAGTGCCGTTAGCGGTCGTTCGACCAACCGACATTCCCATCCTCAGCTTCTGTTGGACTTCTGAGTCACATTTTAGGCGCAGAAGCTGGAGAATTGCACTAGTTTAATCTGACACTGATCTTAAGTTCATTGTTTGGGGTTGTCCTTATAACAAACTATGGGTGTTAGAAACAAGTATAGTAGATGTCTTAACTCATGAGATGTCGTGATTGATGATTAGTATGGTTGTTCCTATTTATTTAGTCTATTTGAGGCATAGAGAGCCTTTAACTGAAGAAGAGTTCACTTGGAATGTTTTATCGAAGGAAAACAGATGATGATGAGGCAAAATCGGACGTTTCCTGATATCCCAGTAATTTTCTACACTGTTCGGTCTTCAAAGTCTCTTATTTTTGCGCTTTGTGCTATAAAGGAACACTGATAAAAGCAAGACGGTTTTCAAACAAATCCCAATATTCAAACGGATAGTGGGACTTTGAGTCCGTGAAAATCGGGTGGATTCAGACAAGTTAAATCTCATTGTTTTCATAAAACAAAGTGCGAATTAGGCTTTAGAAATTATATTTTAAAAAACTGTGACTTTTTTGCCATAAAATGCAGTAACAAACATGACTGACAGTAGTTTGTTTACCACAGTGAATAGGCGTGGACAAATGCGCATTGAGCACCTGCGACATGCCGTCACTTTTCTATGTCACGCCGTACGACGAAGACCTCGAAGCACCTCCTGTCGGACTTCGATTTTGAGCGCATACGAAAACCGGCGTCAACTGGCAACCCTCCCAACCCTTACCCTACCCCTCCCCTAAATGGAATTTAGTTCAAGGCCGCCTGTAATACGAGGGGGTAGTTACAACCGTGCCACCTACCATTTAAGGGAAGTGATGAAGTTGATGGAACTCAAATTACATTATGCCCGCCTTTTGGCGAAGATAAGGGAATATTCAATGTTTGATTGTCCACCCCACCACGAGAGTAGGTACATACGCCGCACGAAGTCGGGGCGTCTGATGTTCAACTTCGCACAGCGATGCATGCTCTCAGACTGGGCGACTCGGTGCGTTTCCCACGGACAAGTGAGTTCCGTAGAACAATCGGTGAGCGCCCCTCTACCATTGCATATTCCCAATCGCAACCGAGAGGGCAACGAGCCTGTGCCTCAGTGGTTAGAGACGTTGGACTTTTAACTAACAGGTCGTGTGATCGAGCCCCAGGTGTTCCACACTACGGGGTTGGGGATGGCTGAATGACGACGGCTAATAAACCAAAAATGGCCATTGCAGTCTCCCTTGCCTTTGTCGGTAATGCAATTCTACCTATGTTACGAGCCGTTGTACGGCTGCTGGTTGGGCTCAAGAGACAACCCTAAGACACAACGGCACGAATGAGTACGGTAAAACGTTCAGTGAGCTCCCTCTCCCAAATACAAATCTGTTTTTAAATATCAAACACATTTTACTGGCCTTCGACCTGGAATCCCACGGACGTATCAATCTTACGTAATGCATACATGCTTGAACCTCTGACCGTTGAATTACAAGTTCTGGGCTATCCTTCCTTGCATCCATTTTCTGAATGAATTTCGATTTCATGAAGTTGCACGGGGTAAGGAAATGCTAACCGTTGTTCAACAAATTCCCCTGCGTCTTAACACTCCTGTTTTACTGGCAGACGTATACATTCCATCGAACGCTGCTTCGAGCATTTTTAGAGCCCGACTGCTTTTCTCTTACTAAGGAATTCCGTGCTGGGAGCGCAGAGCAATGAACCGATGTAGACATTTCAGCAGCACCAACTCCTCGGGGCGGTACAGGTCAGCAGATGTCATCCTGCTGATGAACGGCAGACCGAAAACTCTACCGAACTACACATACTTTTAAAAGCACCATAGGAAGCTCTTTATAGTTCTTTCTTACCCCGCGCATATACTTAATTCTTGCCGTATTTCTAAGGTAGAACACAAAGTTCCGGTTTGTAATGGCCCTATAATCGCCATTCGGTAGGAATTAATCGCAGAGGCCTCGGACTTGCTGTCTCGCTTTTTCATTTCGTTGTAGTGAACTTATGACCTCCTGATCTGCTCATCTACAGCTCAGCTTATATGTTGGAGCATATATACTGTGACTGTTCGTTACTGTTCGTAGGAAGCATTGTCGAGGGACAAACTTTAGGTGGCTACCCTTCTAAGACAGATCCAATA